GGGCAAGTCGCCCGCGAAGCGCTGCGACAAGGAGTCCAAGTCCAAGGTCTTGGCCAGCGACGCCTGCCCCGTGGCGTGCGACGCCTGCCCGACCTGGGCGGAGGTGACGGAGGACCTCCAGGAGACCTGCGACGCGGCCGAGGACGAGATCACCGCGCTCGAGGCCAACCTCGCGCGCGGCGAAGGCGAGATCGCCGCGCTCAAGGCCGCGAACGCCGCGCTCGAGGGCAAGGTGGCCGAGCTCGAGGCCAAGCTCGAGGCCCCGACGCCCGCGCCGACGGTCGACCCCACGGCAGCGCCTACGACGGCGCCGACGGCGGCCCCCACGCTCGAGCTCACGCTCGAGCCCACAGCGGCGCCCACGGCGCCCCCCACGGCCGCGCCGACGGCTTCCACGTGCGCCGCGAACGAGTGGTTGGTCTGCGAAAAGTGCCCCAGAGGCGCCACGTGCGACGGCGCCAACGCCGTGTGCGAAGGCGAGGGCAGTTGGTACGTCAACCGCTTCAACGTCTGCCTCGAGTGCCCGAACGGCTACACGTGCGACGGCGTCACCAAGACGTGCGCCGTCAACAAGTACGTCGACAACAACGAGTGCCTCGAGTGCCCGGCTAGCGCGACGTGCGACGGCGTCAACGCCGTGTGCGATAACGTCAACAAGTACGTCGACAACAACGTGTGCCTCGAGTGCCCGGCTAGCGCGACGTGCGACGGCATCGACGCGACGTACTCTCCGACGGACGGGACCGAACTCAAGACCGCGGTCGACGAGTGGATCGGCGACGCGACGAGCGCGGAGGCCAAGTACACGCACATCGGCAAGTGGGACACGTCCAAGGTGACGGACATGTCCTACCTGTTCTGCGTGCGGGAGGGGTGGATGGATTATGAGTATTATGCCGACAACTATGGAGATTGCGTGCTCACGGACGACACATTCAACGAGGCCATCGGCGCCTGGGACACGTCGTCGGTGACGGACATGTACGGCACGTTCACGGAGGCCTCCGCCTTCAACGCGACCATCGACGCCTGGGACACGTCGTCGGTGACGGACATGTACGGCACGTTCGAGGGCGCCACCGCCTTCAACGCGGACATCGGCGGCTGGGACACGTCGAAGGTCACGGACATGTACTGGATGTTCTTCAGTGCTTCCGCCTTCGACCAGGACATCGGCGCCTGGGACGTGTCGAAGGTGGAATGGTTTTACGGAATGTTCTTCAGCGCCATCGCCTTCGACCAGGACATCGGCGGCTGGGACACGTCGAAGGTCACGGACATGGGCGGCGCGTTCTCCGACGCCACCGTCTTCAACCAGGACATCGGCGCCTGGGACGTGTCGAAGGTGGAATGGTTTTACGAAATGTTCTCCAGCGCCATCGCCTTCGACCAGGACATCGGCGGCTGGGACACGTCGAAGGTCACGGACATGGGCAGCGCGTTCTCCGACGCCACCGTCTTCAACCAGGACATCGGCGCCTGGGACGTGTCGAAGGTGGAAGGGTTTTACGAAATGTTCTCCAGCGCCATCACCTTCAACCAGGACATCGGCGGCTGGGACACGTCGAAGGTGACGGACATGAGCGGCACATTCTACATCGCCACCGCCTTCAATCAACCCATCGGCGACTGGGACGTGTCGAAGGTGGTGGAAGGGTTTAACGGAATGTTCTCCAGCGCCATCGCCTTCGACCAGGACATCAGCGGCTGGAACCCATCGTCCGTGACGGCGCAGGACTATATGTATTATATGTTCACCGACGCCACCGCCTTCGCGGAAGGCCAATCGTGCCCGCCCTGGGCCCCTGAGGTGGCAGGGGGGCCCTGCAAGGCCTGAGAGGATACCGACGCCTTCTGCGGCGAAGAGGCCGCGGCGGGCAAGTGCGACGCGAACCGGGACTACATGATCGATAACTGCGCGGCGTCGTGCGGCTTCTGCGAATAACGAGATGAGGACGACGAGATGAGAACAAGAAGAGGATGACGAGAACACGACGACGAGAGACCACGACGAGAACGACGAGATGAGAACGAGAAGAGGACGACGAGATGAGAACGAGAAGAGGACGACGAGATGAGAACGAGAAGAGGACGATGAGAACATGACGACGAAACGAGAAAGACGAGATGAGAAAGACGAGATGAGAACGACGAGATGAGAACGAGAAGAGGACGATGAGAATACGACGACGAGAGACACGTTGACGAGATGAGAACGACGACGAGATGAGAACGACGAGAACACGACGACGACGACCTCGCGGCTGCTCCCGCACCGCGCGGACGCCGCCCGGCGACGTCCGCCCTCGGACGCCGCCGCCGCCGCCGACGCCCCGCGCGTCGGCGTCGACCTCCCCACTGTACATAGCCGCCCAGGCGGCACCCGCCACCCCTGCTTGCACCCCCTCCCCGCGCGCGCCGG